TCAGGAGTGTGCTACCACGCCTGGCTAATCTTTTTTGATTTTTTTTTTTGTAGAGATGAGGTCTCGCCTGCTCAGGCGGGTCTCTAACCCGCGGGCTCAGGCAATCCACTCACCTCAGCCTTCCAGAGGTGCGGGATTACAGGCTGAGCCACCGAGCTGGCTAAAACCATCTTTTAATATTTCTATTATTCATTTCCCCAAAGACCCAGCTAATGATAGTTGCTAAATCTCTTTTCCTTTTACTATTTTCCTCCTACTTTTCTTTCTTGTCCACCATATACAGAGATCTTCCCTCCCTTTTGAATTACATGTTTTTGTTTAATTTACTTATTATTTATTTATTTTTGATTTGGAGTCTCACTCCGTCATTCAGGCTGGATTGCAGTGGCACGCAGGCTCATTGCCACCCCAGTGTCGACTGGCTGGGCTCAGGCGATCCTTCGCCTCAGCCTTCCAAGTAGCCTGAACTACAGGCCTGCACTACCATGCTCAGCTAAGTTTTTGATTTATTGTGGACATGAGGTCTCGCCACGTTGCCCAGGCTGTTTCTGAACCCATGGACTCAGGCAAGCCCCTCATCTCGGCCTCCCAAAGTGCTGGGATTACAGGCTTGAGTCACTGCTCCCGGCCCGTATTTTTATTTTCAGATCATTGTGATATGGATTTTTATCAGTCAGCCCGGGCTCCAAGAGAGTTGGCGCAGTGGGTTGGCAAGCCAAGCCCCAAAGACTGGCTCACTTTCTTGCTGCCTGTCAAGAGACCAAATGAGCAAAATGAACTCCGTTTCAGAGACTTAAGTGAGTTACTGAAGATAAAATAAATTAAATGTTAGGTCAGGATAACAGATATGGAGTGCAGGGTTTTGTTTGGGGTGATGAAAAAGTTGTCAGGTTGATCATAGTTAGTTTCACATCTCTGTGAGTATACTAAAGGCCATGGAATTATAAACTTTATCTATCTATCTATCTATCTATCTATCTATCTATCTATCTATCTATCTATCTATCTATCTGTTTGTTTGTTTTTACCATGTACCCTTTATTTAATTTTTTCCATGATAACAATCTTGCAAAGCTATAGTACAAAATCACAGACAGAATATTGACATTGTCAAGACACAAAACATTTCCATCACTACAAAGATCCCTCATATTTTTCTATTATAGCTATACTTACTTGGATTCATATAGTATATAAATTATGGGGGTTGACTTTTTCCACCCAGCATAATTCTCTGGAAATTTATCCATGTTGTGTGTGTGTGAATTGAGTTTAACTATGATTCAATCATTCATGTCGGTCTTTATTGGACAAAAACTCTAGACACCTGAAGCTCTGTGAGCATCCTGGTTGGTGATACACACCCATGTGGTGGGGGGAATGACTTGTCACAAGGACACTGAAGTTTCACATTTGATACTCGGCCAGATGTCATGCTATTTGTCTCTCTATTTATATCCATTACAAAAAAACCCACAAAAAACCAAACTGTAACCATAAATATAGCACTTTTCTCAGTTCTGTGAGTTAGTCTAGCAAATTAACAAATGTGAGGAGGTGTTGGGAACCTCTGAATGAATTTGTAGCCAGCTGAATTGCAGGAATCCTAGGAGCCCTTGATTTTGTGGCTGGTATCTGAAATGAGGAAAGTTTTGTGGTGGACTGTGCCATTACCTGTGAGATTTGACATAACTTTGGATAGTCTTAGGATTGCACTACAAATTGCTACAACATAGGAATTATAAACTTTAAATGATTAAATTATGTGAATTATATCTCAATCCAGCTGTTAAAAAAAGAGTTAAGCATCAAACCCAGATTCATTTCCTATCCATTTTACTGAAGAACTCTTAAAAAAAAAAAACAGTAATGATAAATCTATTCTTTAAAAAATAATAATAAAAAAACCCCTCAAACTTGCCCAGTGAAAGGCTTGAACTTAATCCTTGGCTTCTGGGAGCTAATCTAGGAACATCTTTCTTGAGGGTGGGTATAGCCACACTTAAGTTTTAGGGTGAGTACTGACCATGCCAGAAGGACCAGTCATGCCCAAATGGTGACACAAAGGGTGAATGTTTTGGGCTACACAGTATCTGTGACTTGGAGACTTAGTTAAACCACTTAATCATTCAATCAGGCATGCCTCTGTAATTAAGACCCAATACAATCTCTGGACACTGAAGCTCTGGCAGACTTCTCTAGCTGAAAATACTCTGTATGGTAACACATCAGTGTAGGGGTATTGACTCCACAGGAGAGAACAGTGAGAGTTTTGCCTAGACTCTGGACCATGCATTTTTTTTCTTTTGGTTCATTTGTATCTTTTTGCTGTACTAAACCATCATTTTGAACATAATAGCTTTCAGTGAGTTTTTCTAGGTAATTATTGAAACTGATGGCGATTTGGGAAACCCTTGAACTTACAGTTGATATCAGAAGTGAGAGTGTTTTTGTGCATGACTGTGTCCTGCAATGTTGCAATCTGGCTAACTCTGAGTAGGCAAACATAAACCTCATCGTATTTGTATATATCTAACATCACAGACATGGGTCTCTGTGCAAAAATTTGGCATGAAGATGTGTTTTGTATAGCGCATATAATATTGTAGGGAAAAAACATTACAAAATAGAGAGCTTTAAAACTTCTTTTGAAAACTCAAGATGTTTGTAACAACAGCCCAGATTTCACTGTTGCTGAGAAGTAGAGCCTTCCACTACACGGGGTTTCCTCTCCTCTGCTGGTGCCAATGCATTACCTGCCCCATAAGCATTTGTGGTGTGGGGCTCAACTTAGACTTGACATCTACATGCATTAGCAAAAGTGGCTTGTGATTGTCTTCTCTGTCTTATATCAAGCTTTATTTACTTTAAAGATAAATGAGATAATTTTCATTTTACTTTTTTATATTTCAGAGCAATTTTATGGTATGGAAATTATATAATTCTGAAATGTTGAAAATAATTCAAATACAAAAATGCATTGGTTTAAGAAATTGTGTGTGGGGGGGGGGGGGAGTAATGAGTTTGTTCTCTAATTTCTTTTTTTTTTTTTTGAATCGAAATCTCACTTTGTTGCCCAGGCTGGAGTACAGTGGCATAATCATGGCCACTGCAGCCTCAACCTGCTGGGTTCAGGTGATCCTGCCTCAGCCTTCCAAGTAGCCTGAACTACAGGTGTGTGCCACCATACTTGCCTAATTTTTCTTGATTTATTGTAGAGATGAGGTCTTGCCATGTCACCCAGACTGGCCTTGAACCCCTGGGCTCAGGCAATCCTTTTACCTCTGCCTCCTAAAGTGCTGGAATTACAGGCATGAGCCACCACACCCTGCCTCTAATTTAATGATATATTTTAATTAAGTTTTCTATCTCTTGAGTCAATTTTTGTAATTTATTATTAAACTTAATTTATTGGCATAGAAGTACATGTACTATATTAACTTACAATTTAAGAATTTACCTATGAAACTTTATTTCTATTTTTTTCTCATTCATATTTATCTTTCTTTTTTGATTAGGTTTATCACATATACATGTTTTGTAGTTTTCTTGAAAATCTAGCTCTTGGATTCATTCATCAATTCAGTTTCCTGATTCACAATTTTAGCCTGGGTCGGCTTACTCCTGTGGTCCAGCTCTATGGGCAGCCGATACTAGAGATGACTTGAACCCAGGAGTTCGAGGCCATCCTGGGCAACATAGCAAGATCTCATCTCTACAAAAACAATTAGCTGGGTGTGATGGTGTATTCCTGTAGTCCTAGCTACTCAGGTGGCTAAGGCAGAAGGGTCAATTCACGAAGTTAGAAAAATATTGTTTTTATAAAAACAACCCCATGAAAGGAAAGAATAAAGTTAAAAGCATAAATTAGTGAATCTTTTCTTTTGGAGTTTGGGCCCAGGTTGGAGTACAGTAGCATGATCATGGCTCACTGCATCCTCAACCTTCTGGGCTCAGGCAATCCAATATTAATACTATATTTTTCAAGTGTTACAACAAATATCTCTTTACAAGGAAAGAACCCAAGCAGACCAGGAATTATCTTTTTGAAGGACAGGTTCCTTATAGTATAGGCTTCCTGTGCTAGTTAAGTGTTCTAGAAATCCATTGGCATAATTGTACTAGCTAGCAGTGTTGTAAGAGGCTGTGTTTGGCTTCAGTAAGTTTTTTTTTTTAAAGATTCTTTCAACATGTGTGCTCATTTCATGGTGGGTGATTTGTGATCATACCTGCCCACATCATAATGAGTGTTCAGCAGTTTTTGGCCGCAAATGGCATGAGCCTTGTGCCCCACCTTCCTTGTTGGCCTGAGTGACTTCTTTTTGTTTCCCAGATGAAAAAGTTCTCAAAGGAAAACATTTTGCCAATGTGGATGAGGTGGCCTCAAAATTGATGAGTTCAAAAACTGTTCTGAGCAGTGGAAAAAGCATCTCCATTGCATCAGAGAGTGCTTTGAAGATGACTGAATTTTAAACATATAGGAATAAATACAGACATTTTATAGATAAATTCCAGGGTTTTTTTTGGGGGGGTTCCCTCTTATACATTAGGGAATAGTCTCTAAAGGGAAAATGTGGGACCATCTTCCCTTAATATGATATGGCTTTGGTTGGGCCAAGGCCTTACTAATCAAATGCAAGGCTTACTGCTCATGTAGCCCCAGGAAGGTTTAGCCTCTCATTTAAATAATTAATCCAGGCCAGGTATGGTGGCTCATGCCTGCCATCCTAGTACTTTGGGAGGCTGAGGTGAGAGGATTGCTTGAGCCCAGGAGTTTGAGATCAGCCTCAAACACAGTGAGATCCTGTCTTTACAAAAATAATTAATTAACTAATTAATTAATTAAACAATCTACTGAAGTGCTCTTCCTCCTTAACCTTGACAAATGCAAAACTTCAGGCATTAATATCACCTGATTAGTGGAATCACATTTTGAGAGTGCTTTAAGTAGAGAGATGAGCAATTACTTCAAGAGACTGAATCTATTTTTTTTTAAACAGGAGAACTGCTTATCTATGCAGCAATCTATTCAAGGGCTTTTGGGCCACTATGCTGTTAATGTGACCTCTGCAGCCAGGCTCTGCAGTCAAAGTCTATGTAACAACCATGGAAGATGTGTTCGCAAAGTCCCTGACTCCTCTTTCTACCTGCATATGCCTGAAGGGAGTGCTAAGAAATATGTCCTGGACAAGAGTTTCAGATTCCTCATTTCTGAAAAAAATAAACTGAAGACAATAACGGACATGAAGAACGGATTTGTGTGTCACTGCTACTATGGTTGGCATGGACAGTCTTGCCATGACCACTACTCAGATCTCCCGAGAGAGAAGAATAAGTCCCCTACGGCTCACTTTAATTTATCAGTTTTTCTCAGCATGGCCTTATCTGTGATTCTGCTAAACATTTTTTTACCCCTTACTACAATGTCAATTTTTTCTTGAAGCACTAAAGATTAGAAAATGTTATTTCTTTAATGTCAAACCTCATCTAAAATATGTATGTATTGGTTTTAAAGTAAAAAAAAAAAAAAAGTAATCACCATTAATTCCACATGTTGATATAGCAGTTTGACTTGGATTTTGTTTTTCTTTTGAGTTTGTGTCTCACTCTTTAGCCTAGACTGGATCACAACTCACCCCAGTCTCCACCTCCTGGGCTCAGGTGATCCTTTACCTCACTCTTTCAAGTAAATGGAACTACAGATGAGTGCCACTATGCCAAGCTACTTTTTTATTTTTTGCAGAGACGAGGTCTTGCCATGTTGTCTAGGCTGGTCTCAAGTTTCTAGACTCAAGCAGCCTCAGTCTCCCAAAATGCTGGGATTACAGGCATGAGCCACCATGCCTGGCCTGACATAGCAGTTGTGTATTGGGTACTTACTTCATGCTAGCCAATGGGGATAAGGAAGTGAATATATCTACTCTCAGAGAGCTTAAATTATTGTGGAAAATGAAAAATAATAAGCAAACAGTAAACAAGCTTGGGCAATGTAGTAAGACCTTGTCTCTACAAAAAAAATTAAAAATTAGCTGAATGTAGTGGTATGCATCTGTAGTCCCAGTTACTCAGGAAGCTGAAGTGGGAGGATCACTTTAGCCCAGGAGTTCAAGGCTGCAATTGAACTATGATAGTGGCACTGCACTCCATCCTGAGGAATAGAGTGACACCTTGTTTCAATCAAACAAACACATACAGACATATCTGGCAGTGATAAGAGCTGTGGAGAATAATATAGCAGATTAAAGGGATCAGGGAGTGTTGGGAATTTTATATAAGGTAATCAAAATAAGGCTTTCTAAAGAGATGACTCGAAGGCAGAAGCAACAGGCCACACATATATCTGGGGAAAGCATTCTTGGAATAGGGAAGAGAAAATTCAAAAGCAAACAGCTGTGTGCACTCCAGGGACTGGGAACCCCAAAATAATATAAGCAACCCACCCCAGTGCCATGTTTGAATGTGTCCTTCAAATTTCATGTGTTGGAAACTTGATTTCTATTATGGAAATATTGAAAAGTGTGTCCTTCAAGAAGTGATTTTGTTACCAAATAAGGTGCAGCACAATGCTTGTGGGTTTTTTGACTCACCACTGAAAGGAATTTCAGAGCACCTACTTGTCTTAAGCAAAATTGATGAGGAAGAGGAAGAGAAAGGGAGATGTGCCAGAGAACTGACATGGGCTGGTGAAAGGAAGGAAGGAAGGAAGGAAGGAAGGAAGGAAGGAAGGAAGGAAGGAAGGAAGAAAGAAACACGCTTTTGCTTTTTGACAAACCGTTTGATACAGCTACACAATAATCATTATACTAAAAGAGGGTGGGCTACTGGTATCTATCTACTCCTGAGAGATTACTGTCTCTCCACCCAAAGGATGGTCTTTTCTTGGAACAAGCATTTTGCCTTTACAGGAGACTCAATAGATTGATTATTAAGTTAAACCATGAGCTAAAAGGTGGTCTGCCTCCATGTCTCCACCTTGATGGGCTTTTCTTTGATGAGTTGAGAGGGTGGAATGGACTTGCAAGTTAACATTCCAGCCCTGGGGGTCAAATCTAATGCGAAAAGGAAAAAAATGTCTGAATACTTCCTCTATTCTGCAACTGTTTACAAGAAATTTATCTATGTCTAACCTACACTGAATACCCTTCCTCAGTTTGATCATGAGGGCCTTGATTAATGAGTTATCATGAGAATGGACCTGGTGGCTTTATAGGAAGAGGTGGGAAACCATAACTAGCACATTAGTACATTAGCAAGCGCAGTTCCCTTGTCATGTGAATGGCCTGCACCTTCTCCAGATGCTGCAAAGTTCCCACCAGCTAGAAGTCTTTTCCTAGATGAAGCACCTTTGATCTTAGACTCCCTAGCCTCCATAACTGTAAGAATAGATTGCTTTTCTTTATAAATTACCCAGTTTCATATGTTCTAAGTAACAGAAAATGGATCTAATACATGGGGTGAAAACACATCCACCCATCAAGTCTTTAGAAATCCTAACATAAGTATCAAAGGCATGTAATTTCTTGCATAGGGATCATTCCTACTTCTGGCAACCACATCTGTAGCCCTGGTTTGGGGACAACTGAATAAGACAGAAAAAAGGAAAGTTGAGATATTTATGTTACTCTATATTTATGTTTCCCCAAATTCCCAGAAAAGTGGAGGGATTGAAACTATCTATATAAAATTAATATCGGGCCATGAGATACAAGTTGTAGAAGAGACTTGAGCCCTGCAAAGCCATAGCTATGGTTAGAAATAAACAAATATGTTGTGTCTAAGCCTGCTCTCCTCCTTGCGTGACTATTTACACAGCCACTTTAATAGAGAGCAACTGATTATCTTTATGTCCTGACTTCTAGGGAGGGGAAGCTTTCCACAAGGTTGACAAACATATTTTCCCTTAAGCTATGGGATAAAGGTCACACATGTCTCCTTGATGGCATCCTAAAATCTTATCTGTGAAAGGGCCTGAGCAGTTCTAGTCTCTAGGACCTCATCTTCCTCCTAAAACCATGCTTGTAATGGCTTACTGCCTAGGGGTCAGTAGCCCATGCTTACAGGACTCACTTCATGGATAGCACCTATTGTAAAACCAAAGAGCCGGCTCGGTGGCTCAGCCTGTAATCCCGCGCCTTGGGAGGATGAGGTGAGTGAATTGCCTGAGCCCGCGGGTTCGAGACCTGTCTGGGAAACTTGGTGAGACCTCATCTCTACAATAAATCAAAAAATTACCGGGCATGGTATCGCACGCCTGTAGTTCCAGCTACTTGGAAGGCTGAGTGGGAGGATCGCCGGAGCCCAGCAGGTCGAGGCTGCGGTGGCCGGGAGCGGCCACTGCACTCCAGTCTGGGCAACGGAGTGAGACTCCAACTCAAAAAAAAAACCAAAAGTAAAACCAAAGAATGATGTTTGAGATATTTTTCAGACATTGCATTCTGATGGACCCAAGGCTGGACCAGGTACATATCAAGAAGAGACCCTGACGGTCTTGCAATCTCCTCCCAGACACTGGCTCTGAGACACCCCTCCCATCACTTCACAATGAACCAATGAGCAGCACCCATTTTCTGGGCTCTTGTCCATCAAATTGCTCCCTAAAAAACCCTCACCTAATATTGTTGGGGAGGTGCACTTGAGAAATATCTTCTGTCCTCCTCACTCAGCTGCTGTGCAATATTAAAGTCTTTCTGTATAACTATATGTATATGTATATATATGTGTGTGACCCCAGGATACCAAGTTATGGGCATGAGAGAGAATTTATACTGAAAGCTATAAGGCTCATCTTTGTATCCAAACTTTCACCAGGGTCTTTGAAAATTTATTGAGCAATCATCAATATCAGAAGATAAACCCTATTAGACACCCATAGAATGGAATTTATGTGGGAAATTTTTGTTTGATATTTGTTGATTTGTTAAAGTACTTTATTTAAGCAGTTTGTCAATGCTTAATGCACAGCAATCATGTGATCACTTGATCTGACCTAGTTGTAATCCAGATCATCTTCAGTCATAAAGATTCAAATTCTAATACCCAAAATACTATTATTACCCACAATGCTATTTCCTCTCTCAGTGAAAGGAAGGCATCTCCCTGTTGAACACCTTCTAAATATTGCACTTACATATGTATATAGTTTATGCTGGCATACATATCTTTATATCTTTGATAGGTATGTCACACCTATTTCAATTCGTCTGTCCATTAATTGTTCATTCATTTATTTTGGAAGGAAGCAAAAATTGAAAAAGCAGTGAAATATAGTAAAGTAAATTAAGAGTTATTTGATAAGTTTTCCTTATTTTGTTGGTGACCTGTTGCAACAAGGCTGCAATTACAGCAAATAGGAAATTGTGCCCACACACAATGTTTTTGCAATGATTAAAGTTGGCATTAAGAGATTACAAGTGGAAAGGAATGACTCCTTTTGTCCTTACAGTGATGATACAATTTTCAACATTATATCAGGGTTTTGATAGTCAATGAATATCAGCAAAACTGGTAATATTAATAATATTATATTACCATACTGAAGATGAAGAAAATAAGATATAAAGAGAATGAGAAGTGTAGTCAGTTTTGCTCTACAGTGAATACATGAAAGATAGAATGTATACCAGGTTTTTTTTTTTTTTTAACTTACAGTGATCCCAAAATGATGAGGGCATAAGAAGAATCAAGATAGGTGAAAGAAAATGAAAAAACATAAAATAAATACATAGAAAAAAATAGGAAACACTCCATTCCTTTTACCCACAGATAATTAACTTTTTCTAAATAAGAAAAGATTATTACATGTTATTTCATTTAAGTTTAATAGCAAGTAAAAGAAACTAAAACTAAAGGAACTGCCACATTTCTCATAATAGATTCTTCAGAATTTTGGTTTGTAAAAAAATGTTGCTCAAGTTAAAAATAGATTATGAAAAACATTCAAGAGGAGACCCAAGATGGTGACAGAGCCAGAGTGTGCGAGTCTCTGTGTGGGTGAGTGTGTGTGAAGATAAATTTGTGTGTGCGTACATATGTGGGTGGGTGGGTGAGTGTCTGAGTGGAAACCTGGGAGCTAGTGCCATGTGCTCTTCTGGTGAAGTGGACACTACTAAGACAACTCTGCTCTCAGTGCTTCTCAAGGCTCAGAAAGAGGCACCATCTTCAGAAACTTGCAAAACCCATCAAGACCCAGCTTGGTGGAAGCTATGGGGAATAGCTGCTACTGGGGGTCTGGCACCAGTCTCAACAACTGCCACATTCTTCAGTGACAAGCCAGTCACTGGCAACAAAGGCTGTGGCAAGAGTGCTGCCAGATGCTTGAACTCAGCAGAGTAGATACAAATCCACCACCATCACTGTTGTCTGGAAAACTAGACAGAGAAGTGCTCCATTGCCCCATCACTGATCTATGGAGCTGCATCCTGGGACTAAAGGGTCAACTCTC